GGGTGCCTCGCGGCCCCCCCAGCAAGCGCCCCCCCGCCACAGTAGCACAATCTCAGCATGATCAACATGCATTCCCTCTCTGTTTTATGCACAACTATAAACCTATCCTTTCTCTTGGTGTATAAATACACATTAAAAAAATGCCAGTTATTGCCCTTTAGTAAGGCTGCCTTAAGAAGGGGTAAGCATACAGGCACATACCGATGGAGCTTGACTCAAATCAATGTCTCAGCCAGATCAGAGAGCAGAGCGCTCGAGTGGCTGCTGATGCAAAGATACTTGCACAGCATGAGCACTTCAGCTGACAGGCACTTTTCGTTTGCTTCACTAACATTACACCGCTTCCTATCAGAGCTCAGGCCAGGTAGTGAAAAGCAAAGGCCAGCTCCGTCACGCAACCCTCCCTCCCACCCTGCAACCCGTCATTAAAACCTCTGGAGATAAGACTCCAGGGAGGTATTGCCAGAGATGAAGGATGGGCGAGACCAGAAGTAGCATCGTCCATACACCTCCCTGCACAAAACATACTCTTGTTAACTTGTAAAGACCTCTCAAGCGTGAAATCCATGAACAGATCCCTCTGACACATCACAAAACCTTTATTAGTGTTTATCAGTGACACAGATTACAGGAACCAAAGGCAATTAAATAACATTTAACTTGAAGTTGACCACAGACTCAAGAAATACAAGTCACATTTGGCAAGGCAAACTTCTCAGTACACTGGGTTGCTTGGGTTATTATTACACTGTGAAAGAGGAATTTCCCTTACAAGGTTCTATATATTCAGGATATTATTATTAATTATTATTATTGTGTCTTTCAGACAGCTCCTTTGGCAAGAATTCCTATTTTTTAAGCTTTTATTGTATAAAAATATAACCAATTTTCATTATGTACAAACATTACATTACACAATATACAGGTTAAAAACACTACAAAAAATGGCAGGCCATGGGTGAACCGAAAGCAAAAAAAAAAGAATGTAAAAAACATGAAAAAAAGTTTTAAATACTGCACATTTCATAAAAATTACATTAACTACAAACAATTTTTTTTTTGTTTGTTTGCAAATATCAAACAGTACTGATGTGATTGGAAACCTTTCCCAACGACTTCGTTTTTAAGGCACATCTTGCATATTTACATGTACGACACCAGATCTGGTCAATAACTTAAAGGCTCTCGGGAGTGACCTAGTCGTGTGCGTGCAGGGACGTGTGTACTCAGGGCGGGGAGCATGTTGGGCTACGCTTTCTCAGCTGTGTCAGTCTGGGGGGCCAGGTATCTAGTTGAGGGGGCCGGGTAGAGGGGCACCCCGATCTCCTGAAGGTCAGGGAGCCGTGCAGGGCGCGGCGGGGAGAGCAGCGTGATCGTCCGGTCAAAGTCCCTGTGCAGCACTTTCTCGTAGACGCTCTGAAGCCCCACTGTTTTGGGCAGCTGGGCTTGATAAAAGTTGTCCCTGCGAAGGGGATCCCTGGGCAAGGACGTGCTCTTGCAGAAGGTGGAGAGGGGTGCCGACGGATGGGGAGAGGGATGAGGGTTGGCTCGGCCGCAAGAAGGGCTCCAGCAGCGGTCTGAGTGGCCCAGGATCTTGCACTCGGCTGTACACGCCCAAAGACCTGAAGGGAAAGCGAGGAGAAGCCTGTCACTACTGAAGGAATAAATCCACATAATCCATAATCCTCAGAGTTATCAGTCACGGGATGATTCAATGCACTGACAGCGGGAGCTGGGAAGAGATGCTCTACGGCACAACAAAAAACCTTTCTTGGGAAGGTTAAGTCATTTTGCTAGGGACACTCCTCACATTCCTAACTTTAAGAGAAGCTTTCTGGGAGGAAAAAACCCTAATCCTACAATTCTTACAGCATCTGCTAATTTGCAGTGAGCACTCAGCACCGAGAGGAATCGGTGTCTAGCAGCCTGCTGCAAAGAGACGGGCAGTTTGAGTCACGCAGCATCAGGCTTCCCCTCCGGCTGCCCTGCCTAATCACTGTGCCCCAGGGATGGGTCCCTCTCTCCGCCTCCCCTCCCTCCTCTCCGTCTATCCAGAGAGGCCAGCCGGGAGCAAGCGCTGAGCCCTTACCATTCTGCATGTGCGTGATGAGATCTTTCTTCAGGGCATCTCCGCTGATATCCGAGTCGCTGTCGTTGAAATCGCTGTCGCCTTTGCCGCTGTCTTTGCCGCTGAACTTCTCTGCCTCTCGGCCGGAGATGGTGTTGAACGAGTGCCCCTTCCAAATGGCCACGGGGGGAGCAGACTCCTTGCCGTAGCTCGGGGCGGCAGCGAAGCCCTGCTGGGATGGGGTGAGGGGATCAAAGGAGAGGTGAGTGGGGAAGTGGTGAAGGGTAAATCGACAGCAGAACCGTATCTCTGCGATTCGCATCCCCCGAGACCCCTC